CTTACTAACCGACGCGAACCTTCAAGAAGCCGTTCTCGCGAAGTCGTACTCGGAAGAGGAACCAGGAGCTTGCCTCGGGCGCCGCAGCAAATTGTGCACCGCCAGGTCGCCTGTCGTGGGCATGGCCCAGCATCCACGAAAGACAAGCTTGCACGTCGGACAGCGCTTTGTCTGGACGCGAAGAGTCTGAAGGCCTTTCTCGTAGGACAGCCCACGCACTCGCAGACCCGTCTGCACGGACTCTAGTCGGACGTCTCCAGAGCACCATGGGCACGTGTGCAAGGCGCAGTCGAAGAAGGCCTCCATCATGCGAAGCGCTGGTACTCGGGAGGCGCGGGTACTCGTAAACAGCGTTGCTACTAAAAGTCCGAGCAGCAAAAGCGACGGGGGAACATGCTGATGCAGGTGACTGCGATAAGAAACTGAGATTCCCGATAGCACGCTGCACATGCACCTGACAGAAGCATTCTGTAGAAAAAACAAGACTACAGGGTTAGAAAACGAACCCCTTCCCAACTCCATACTCCTGGAGAACGAACCCCCCCCCACCCCGTTAACGGCGCTACCTGCTTGCTGCACACCCACAATTAATTAAGATCTACAACCTGGATTTCATTCATCCGACACATTGGGGATCAGGCATGGTGCGAGCTGTGCGGAGTTGCAGCGATAGTCTCGGGTTGCGACGTGTGGAAGGGATGTCAAGACTAGGACTTGGAGACAAGTTCGGTAGGGAACTCCGAGTCAGGTTCGGAGCAGGCTTGTTTGAGAACTCGCTGTTCGCTGGTGCGATGTTGCTCTGAGCTCCTCAATCACCTCTCTCTTCTGATGGTAGAATATGTACCTCAGGAAGGACGCGCCCTGCGTGGGATACCCTCAACCCTCACAGGACATGCTCAAACCGGCACTTCGTACATTCAAGGGCACCAGTCTTCTGGCCGTGGGGTACCTTGCTGATGACAGCTTGGGTAGATCGCCTGGCAACGAAGCAGCGAGCTTGGGCCAGAATGCTCGAGGTCCTGTGTCCTGAAGCTTTGCTGCTTCAGAAGGCACTGGAGGAGGGAGAGAGATGAGAAGCTATCCAGCATACCGAGGGTTTAGGAGGATCTGTGGGGTAAGACGAGCCTTCCAAGAATCGCCGATTGCGCACTCCTGCAATGCTGGCCAGGGCAAGTGAGCACAGAGCAGCGACGGGGCCACTTGCAAGGGTGCCTTGACAGCATTGAGCAGACGAACATAACACAAAAGCTGACAATTTTTGACAATGTAGAAGCTTCAGAACAGTCAGACAGGCATTGCCGTCCGGAGTGGTGCCTCATTTATACCTGAACCTGAATCAAACTTCAAGGTTCAAGACTGGCCAAAACTGCAGCGAACCATGCGACCACTACCCCAGAGGCGGCTGCGCGCTCAGACAAACTGGTGGTGGCAGGATCTGGACAGATAGCAGCAATATCCACGGAACTGCCGGCTGGAGTGAAAGTGTCGACCGACTTACAATTGGCATAGGAGTAATACAGAGTGGAACCTGAAAAGTACAAACTAGCTGCGATTCTGTTGTCCGTCACGGAGGTGCAGGTGCACGGGTTCACATAGCACCAGGGCTTGTCACACCAACTTGCTCGGCACCCAGCGTCCCATGGCATTCCGCACTGGTCTTGCCGACATCTTGCCTGTGTCCTGATCGAAGCAGCTGGAGCTCAAGAGCTCTGCGTGGAATCCGCAACTACCCCCAAAGTTTGCGGTCAGTAAACCACTGCTGGCATTTGCACGCTTGCCAGCGCCCTGCTCGCAAGAGGCATCCGTGGAGCTGAAAGGTACATTTCGGCCAGAGGGATGCACTCACAGCCTTCCTGCAGGGCGCTTGTGAAGGGCCAGTATGGCCAGTTCATCGGGCTGATCGCTGGTGTCAGTGATGGTGACAGCAGCGGCGTGCAAGTGTCTGTGGCCCCGCACACGCTGCAACTTACTGTAACTGTAGCAGAGCTCCAGGTCGAAGTAGGTCGTCAAGGCCATGTCGCTCGCCGTGCACTCACATGGGTTCACGTACGACCAAGGTTTGGTGCACCAATCCGCACTCTCATTTAGTGGCAGCGGATTTCCCATGGAATCCGAACCTGGCTCAAGGTGCACACCACATCCCTCGCCACAAGTGGGCGGGTACTGAGAGGCTGTGCCTCCTGGCTTCCATCACGCACTTGCCTTGCTTGGCAAAAAAAGCTGTGCAGTCGACCTTCTCCTGGCCACTGGGCATTTCAACTGGCACGTGCCATCGGATACAGGCATGTACTCCTTGGCACAGCCGGCATCAACATTCTGGTGGGTGCTGCTGGTGAATGTGTTCACTTCCCCGCAGTTCGAGTAGGAATAATAGAGTTTGAAGCCTGGGAAGTAACCGCTGAGTGCCAGATCTGCCACAGGACACGTACAAGGATGCACGTAGCATCATGGGTCGTTGCACCAAGCAGCCTGCTGCGATGCAGGAGGTTCCTCACGAGCTGTCGGGTTAAAGCAGGACGACGAAGCGGGCTCCGCTAGTTCACAATGCTCCGAGAAGTTCGCCTCGACCTTGGCCTCACCACCCACCATCTGCACTGCGACGCTGTGCGAGATGCTAATCAAAGGGAGAATCACGCTCAGCAGATTCGTCATGACCAAAGTTCGTCCACCAGGTACTACTTCAAATAAGCTTGTAAACTGCGAAACATGAGATACAACTGAATCTGCGGTCACCAGCACGAGCGGACAAGAAACTTCGGCACGCACACGGGCGGCCTGAGGGTCAGTCACCCACTTCCGTGCTCGCACTGCACCGATGATCCTCCAAGGAGTGGGGGCGACCCATTTCGGGGTTGCTGTCGGGTTGTTTTGTCATTGTCCGGCCCTAAAGCACACCTCTAAGTCATGGTAGCAACCCATCGCAGTAGCAGTAGCATCTCTGGTGCAGCAGTGCGTCTGATGCTCTCTGAAAACGCGGCCAGGAAAAGGAGCAGCCACTGTAGGGTCCTGCCGAATATCTTCAGTCATGGTAAGCACCTTTCGCTCTGTAGCAGACGAAAGACTGTCGACTACGAACATGCAGTCCTCCCCATAGTTCTCTCCATACTGATACTGACGCACGAAGGAGAACAAGTCGTGCCTGAAAGGTCATACATGAGGATGGTGTGCTTGCATGGACCTCTGCCATCACATGAACATTTACAGCTGACAGCCAATACAGTTTCGGACTTGCTCTACACGAGATGCTGGCCGCAACCCGTTGGCAATAGCTCATGTCGTCGTACGACTCTCATGCTCCTAAGTTCAAACATAATATCTGACCTCGGGCTGCCGTCTGATGTTATTTGCAAGAGCCCTTGGAGGTACTGCTGTCAGACTCAATCTAGGTGGAAGGGTCGTTGCCTGAAGATGTTTCGCAGGAAGCCACGCTCCATCCATATCCAGAATGTCTCGCGGTCGACCATGTCGTAAGCCAGAAAGTCACCTCTGGCTCCACAAGCGAAGTCTTGTTCCGAAGTCTAGTCCAACTATCGGCACGACTGGCGAAACAAGGTCTCATCCAGACTTTGAGCCCTGTGATCTGCCAAGGTGGGCCTCCGAGTGAAACCACCGGGCGGATATTCTAGCCTTGAGCATTTGCCTGGGCAACAACCTGACACGGTGGCCATCGTCCAGCCACATGAGTAGAACCGAGTTGCAAGTTGCACATACAAATCAATCATAAAGGTTTTGTGGGGCGCAATCTACCCTTACCAGTCGCGATTGCTCCTCTGTGTCCATGCAGGCGCCGCTGCAGCGCTCGATCCAAATGAGAGTTTGACGTATTCAGAATGGAAGCAAGAGTAAACCAACACGGTACTCCCGATCTTCATGATCAAGCATCAAAGTCACGTCAAGCCATAAACAATCTGAGAATTGCCTGCGAGGGGCCAAAACCCAAACCAAGATCGAAGACCTGGGAAATCCTGCGGTGCAGTGCGGAGAGCAGCAGAGTTGGCAGCAACAGTAGTCGGCTAGCACTGCACACGCCCAGCAAGCGAGGGATACGTAACAGCGAAGGACACATGACATAGCAAACGCGGGATGCTGAAGAAATTGATACCTCGCATTTGACTACACCTGCTACAACAACATTGTCGGCTTGTTTCGATTCCTGCGTTCCATACCGTTCCGTTCAACATCTTCGTTGCCCACCCTTGTGCTGAGATAAGGCACAGCGTGTTGTAGTTTGAGATACATGACTCTTTGAGTGCTTGCTAGCCCGGCTGCACAGGGCCCAGACTTCAAGGTCTGCGGGCCTGAAGGCCTCGAACACACCGAGGTGGACCGCCGAAGCAAGCACAAAGGCGAAGAAGAGAAGAAGTGTTTCTGGCAAAGACCAAAGATTGCTCTTCTTGTCCTCGGCTCGAATTGCGCCGAGAAAGGTTGCAGCACACTGTCATGGGCCTCAAATCACAGGAAAAGAATCAAAAAGACAGGTGGCATACTCAAACTTCAGCCAATCCAGGAGCTCCGTCAAGGAGCACTCCGTTGACTTGTGGTCCTGCTGCTGTTGTGTATTTGCACCATTTTTCACCATCGGTGAATTCATGCCTGGACGCGCTAAATCCCGGCAGCATGCTACGGCTCCTTCTCCTGGCCGAACAAGGTCTTCCTAAGGTCACAGGCAGGAGCCAAAAGGCGATCATCATCGAAAAGCTCTGATCATGGTCGCACTCATAGGACTTACAGCTGAAGCCTACTTGCAGGGCTCTTTGCGATCCCACGCTGAAGCAAAAAAGATCCCAGTTCCACGGCTTGGAGTCTTCACCAATGTGAATGCGACATTCCCGCGCGTGAGCCCCCTATGGACGTCTTCCACGGTGACCTCCGAGCAACGTCAGGCTGGAAGCAGCACAAATGCCGTGCCATGGACGTTCGATGTACTGGTATCTTCCACATGAATGACATACCTTGTTCAGGACATCATGCTGGGCAGATTTGCATGACATCTTGCAGCTTCCGAGAATGGCAAACGTTGCGCAGGCCTCCCCAATCCCTTCCGCATCGGAGTCCTGGATCCACTCCTTCACATCTTGGGCTGTTAAACCAAGGCCGTCCTTGGAGAACAGAAAAGCGGTTGAGAGCTGGTTCCTGCAATCTCGACTGCTTCTGGTGCGGTCGCACTGCAAGCACCCGCTTTGCCGCATGGCCGCGTGGCAGCAGCAAGATCATGGCAGTATCAAACACAAGTGCGGCCATTGCCGCTTATGAGTCTTGACGAGGAGGAACTAGGTTGTGCCCAGCATCTATGACGCAGAGCTTCACAAGCTCGCGTGTGTCGAGGGTTCCATATACGCCAAAGGCATAGAACAGCCTTGGAAGCATTGGACTTGAAACCTGCCTGCACGGGATTGCAGCCGTTATGTACCAAAGCAAACTGCTCAGACCCAAAGAGTCTTTCGACACTGACATGGCGTCCCCCAGTCATTCTCCATCCAGCAGCTCTTGCACGTCATCAACGCTTATAAGATGCACATTGCCTGGCCAGCGAGAAGCTGTGGGAAGCATAAGACAACACTTACGGCGCAAACGGCCGTTCGACCCCGGCCTTCCCTCACTTTCTCCCAGACTGCGCACAGCTGGACTTTATCTTTGAAAGTCTCCACCGGAAGCATCGCGGCCGTGCCACAGGATTCTTGGAGCTACGAGCTGGTGCGGGATTTGCAGGGAGTTGCAGGGATTTGGGTTCTGTGCATTGCGCTTTGTTGCATCGAGCTTTTGTCGCGGAAACCATGCGTGTCTAGCCAATCTTGAGTCAAACACAAACGCAAACTATGGCTCAGCGGCTCATGTCCTACTCATCTCCAACTGGCCTCCCCAGAAGGAAGTTCGACCGAAAGGGCGACGGCAAAGCTTGCCATGTCCTAAATGCTGCGAGCAGTCGACTCGCTTCATGTACGCCTTGGTCTTCTGGCGAAGGCCAGAAGGATGCAGAGACAGCGCAGAGATCCATACGGATGCCGCTTTTCAGGGGCCGGGCCTTTCAGGTCCTGGGGAATCAGGCTTGTAGAGTAGCTTGGAAAGACTTGGAAAGCTTGCCGAGTCCCGCTGCCCGGCTTCCAATTGTAGGGCGGGTTAATTCCATCGTGCTATTGAGGCCGGGTGCAGAGTGATTAAGAAACCAAGGGGACAGAGTTGCCTCTCCCTGCAACAGCAAAAGAAAGGCCGCTTCAAGATGAATTGGCCAGCACCCTCCCGAAAAGGCGCAAAGATATCGTCCCCGACATGCCGAGAAGAAGCATGCCAAGGATAAATTCGGAGCTGAAAGGGTTTGCGGCCGCTAGGGGCCACACCTTCAACACGAAGTGTGCTACACGTCTTGGACGGCAAGTTAAGCTTCACTGATCACGAATTCCGTGATCGAATCTTCCAGGCATCAATGCTCAGCAGCGGCATGTCGTTCTTCGACTCGCATTGCTCACGAATGACCTGATCAACCATCCCCAAGTCTGCAACACCGTCGTCACACGAAAGAGCTCCACTTTCCTCGATATCTTTGCGCACACGCGTCCAGGCGGCAACTGAGTGTTGGATGGCAACGAGGCTCGCCTTGTTGCTCAGCTTCAGGGCCTCATGCACTGGGTCCACGAAGTCGGGGTAGGCCAGAACACGTCCAAGTTCGGCTAAGGACTCCTCCAGGGCCGTGGCATCAGACGTCATCTTTGGAAAATTGGAGTTGGAGGTCGTGCCAAACTGCGCTTCGACATGCGGCTGCGTCTTCGAAAGAGCATCGTTGACGATGAAGGGCACCCCCATCAAGCTCGGTTGAAAATTCTGCGCGCTGAAGTCCACCAGACGGCCCATGTTCATAAGGACAACCTGCATGTCGTCGTCTTCAACATTGCCGCACACATTCCAGGAGAACTTCTCCAAGCTATAGTAGTTCGCCATGAACTCAGCAACAACATCAGATCGTACCTGAGCGAGCAGCGAGGGGCGCTTACAAAACCGAGTGCTGAGATGTGAGAGGTGTGTGGATGTTGGTAGTACGCATGAATCCTCCACACCCATTCTACGTGAAGCACGGGTGTGGGTTTTGAGATTTGGCACCGGGTCCACACGAAAATGAGCTTTATCCTCCGATAATCAAGAGGCCCCGAATCCCGCTAGTCGCGCACCTTGTAATAGGCATTCCGAAGTTGACTCAGCCGCGTGTTGTCGCTGTTGACGGTGACCGCCAGGTGTCCATGATCACCTGCGTGGCCGGCGTGCGGAAACGACCCATGGCTTGCCACACCACTCTGTCACGCATCAACAGCTTGGAGGCCTTGAAAGGGTAGAACGTTTAGTTGTAAGTTTGTTTTTGGCTTGGATGTGAGTTTTGAGCTTTATCAACAAAACATGTTAGTTGTAATTTTTTTGTTTAAAAAAATCTCTGCGGAAGGTGACAAGAAGCGCATCATCTTTATGACGTTTTTTGCTCTATTTCGAAGCCTGCTGGCTTTCCTCCTCAGGGTTCTCGTTCTCGTCTTTCGCAAAAGATTCGCGCTTCCTAAAGGTTCATACTGGGGCCAAAGGTTCATACGGGCTTGACTCCTTAGGGTTTTCGTCTTCGGCCAAAGGTTCGTGCTGGGTTTACTCCTTCGGGTTTTCGTCTTCGGCCAAAGCTTCGTGCTGGGTTTACTCAGTTTACTCCTTCGGTTTATCGCCTTTCATAGAAGCTTCCTGCTGGGTTTATCCCTTGGGGTTTTGATCTTCGGCCAGAGGTTCCTGCGCTGTTTATTCCTAAGGGTTTTGCGTCTTTCGTAGAAGCTTCCTGCTGGAACTTTTCGTCTTCGGCCGGAGGTTCATGCTGGGTTTACACCTTAGGGTTTTCGGTTTTTCGTGAAAGCTTCATGTTGGGTTTATTCCTTATGGTTTTCGTTTTCGGGCAGCGGTTTCTGCGGGGTTTACTCCTTCGGGTTTTTTGTCTTTCTTAGAAACTTCCTGCTGGGTTTACTCCTTAGGGATTTCGTCTTCGGCCAAAGGTTCGTGCTGAGTTTACTCCTGAGGGCCTCAGGGTTGTCGTCGTTGGTCAAAGGTTCGTGCTGGGTCTATTCTTTAAGGCTTTCGCCGCCTTCCAAAGGTTTCTGCGGGGTTTACTCCTTAAGGTTTATCGTCTTTCGTAAAAGCTTCGTGCTGGGCTTGACTCCTTAGGGTTTCGTCTTCGGCCACATTTTCCTGCTGGGTTTACTCCTTAGAGTTCGTGCTGGGTTCACTCCTTAGGGTTTTCGTCTTCGGCCAAAGGTTCCTGCGGAGTTTACTCCTTAAGGTTTTTCGTCTTTCGTTAAAGCTTCCTGCTGGGCTTACCCTTTAAAGTTTTCGTCTCCGGCCAAAGCTTCGTGCAGGATTTAGTCTTTAGGGTTTTCGTCTTCGGCCAAATGATCCTGCTGGGTTTACTCCTTAAGGTTTTCCTCTTTGGTAAAAGCTTCCTGCTGGGTTTATTCCTTAAGGTTTTCGTCTTCGGCAGCTTCCTGCTGGGTTTACTCCTTCG